CGAGTGACGCGGGCACTCGATGCAGGCTGCCAGTCGATGCGATGTGACGCTCTATACAGGTTGTCAGACTCGATCAACTAGGGCACCGACATGCAAGCAATCAGACTCGTTTTTCCCGAGTTAACCCATGTTGAGTTCAGGTTTCCGAATCAACACAAACCCAACCCGTTTCAAAATCGAGTCGAGTCTAACCATAATTTTCTAGTCGGGTTCAAGTCATGTTTCCATTTTGTGTTAAATATTAACACCCCTAGCTAGTGGGTACAACATCTCGAATGTCAGCATTAGTAGGCGTGGGTGGGAGAAGCCCGCCCGCTGAGAGTGTGGGTATCCAACCAGGACCCCATGTAGGACTTTCAATGCTCGCAACATCGCTAATACCTTGCAACACCGGCCAACGATCAATATTTTGAGGAACTAAAGTACATACAACTACAACTCATGCATGAACCTATACTTTAACGAGAATTACATGGTTTATATTAAGCAAGAAATCATATGAGTTATTTATTTTTAATATGTTTAAACTCAATCTAATTTATAATTATGTCCTCATATAACTCGCACATAATACCTGATCAATGAATATTACTTTAATAGTAGGAAACAGTGGACTTCCTCTAAATGCCAAGCTTCGGTTCTCCTTATACTGAAGTAATGCATGACATAATCACATAATTAAGCAACTTCATTACAATATTTTTATTTAATTACATAATAATAATAATAATTCTTGCCCAATTTACTAACTCATTCAAGTCCCGTAACATTAAAATGTCTTTAATTCCAGGCTGGGAGTTAGACTTAGGAGAAAGTAGCGCACTTTCCTTAACTACTAAACTCAACTAGTAATTAAAATTTGAATGATGCAGTCATCAGTGATACAATCCTTTAATTTATTTTCTTTACTTTTTTCCCTAAGAAATGATGCCAAGTGAACTATTTTTGCTTCATTTTGGTAGTCAACTCAGGCTTATTTTGGCACAGCTTTTATACTACTTCTTACAGCATCTTTATAGTACAAAAATTAATTTTTTAATTAAAAAATTGCTTTAATAAGCGATAAGAAAGCCGACCTAAACGAAGACTCAGTCTCAAATTTATTATATGGTCTTGTTAGGCTTGAGCCAAACAAATTGGCTAAAAGAAGTCGATCTCACAATAGTATGTTATATCGGACCAGAACAACTAGTCACTATTTTTGATCCGACCCGGGCCCAACCCAAAAAAATTTGGGTTCGGGTTGACCCGTTTAGCAAACGGGTCGGGTTCAGATTTTTGACCCGCTTCAAAAAAGCGGGTCGGGTTTGGGTTGACCCGAAAACCCGAAATCAACCCGACACTGACCTGAAAGTTGAGTCCATCCCGGTTTCCGCCCGCATTCGCGAGTCGCGATGTCGCCTACTACCACGCTCGCGCAGTCGCCCGCAACTGCGCTCTCGCCGTCGCGCGTTCCCGCAAAGGCGCGAACTCCGTCCACACGCTCGATCCCGATCTGCATTCCCGTAGTCACGCAGTTGCACAAACCCGCGGTCCCGCGGACTCCGTCCAAAGTTTGAACTCATGCATTCCCGCGGTCCCACGGACTGTCGGACTCCATCCAAAGTCTGAACTCATGCAGTCGCATGGTCCAGCGGACTCTGTCCGCACTCGCACTGTGGCGAGCTCCATCCTCTGCCGCGCGGGTCGGATCGTGTCAACCCGGCAACCCGCCCGGATCTAGTTCGTGTTGAAATGTCTCACTCGTTTTTGCAAACGTGTCGGGTTCATTTAGACCCGGGTCAACTCGGGTCGACCCGAACCCAACCCGTCGACTCGAATTGACACCTCTAGCGTAATTTGAGATATCTTTTATATTGCTTTCTAAAGCATATTTTGTGCTAAAAGGTGTTTTAAATAGTAGTAAGAATATTGTCCCAAACGGAGCTTATATGGGAGTTTATCTTATATTTGAAAAGCTCTAAGGCATATTTCATGTATTTAAAGAGATACTTTTCTCATATTCTCTCGTATTCTCTTTCTCTACTTTTCTATTTTTTATTGCAAATTATACAAGTAAGATATGGCTATCACCCACATATAATTTTGAATACAACATTATATAAAATTCTTTTGTATTAATTTATTATTATTATTATATTAAAATTAAAATTTCATACATATAATTGGTGTTATGTAGCTTCGTTTGGGATGACTTTATCACTGTTTTTTAAAGTAGTTTTTTTAGTACAAAAATTAAAATTTGAGCCAGCTTTAAAAGCTGCAAAAACCCGTCTCAAATGAAGCCTTATGCTTTGTTTGTAACAGCTATCTTACTGCTTCTTAAAACTGCTTTTTAGTGGGTCCCGGCAGTGCCACGTCAGCACCAAGTTTCATAATAATACAGCCACTATGCTTCCACATTGGAAGCGGGTCCACGGCGAGGAAGCTCCGACGAAAAGAGAAAAATAGTTGAGCTTCCCCCAACACCCGAAATATTTCAGTTTATTTTCGCACGTGAATCTTGTGTTTTTTTTTCTTGCTCAAGTCTCCTTATTAGGAGAAAATAAAAACTAATTGCCCTTTTATTTTAGTTCCCCGAATATTAATTTTAAGCTTTTTAAAAAATGACATGTCGTTAAAAATTGATTTGCATGGACATAATTCTTGAGTCATATTTTAATTTAAAATTTTTAAAATTAAATTCATAACTATTCAAACTTAGATTTTAACAAGTTTTTAGTCATACCAAATGACTTGATGAGACTCATTTGTGGATTTAAGAACTGATCTGATCCAAATCCAAATAAGCCTAGATCAAATTTTTGAAACTTGAATCAGAACTTCAAATTACGGTTGACTTATCACGATCAATCTTATCACGGCTCACCAGCAAATATTAATTGATTATAGTCCTCTAACAAAACTCGCCAAATTACTATAATCTAATCATTGTTGCACAGCCATGATTCTTCAATTACACTGTACAAATGATATTGTCCGGCCTCGTTGCTCAATCACAATCCTCTAACCACAATCTTTCAACTATGATTATTCAATCAACATCCTTCGACTATGCTTCTTCGATCACACCGACATCTGACCGCGGTCCTTCGACCACAATAATCACCTAAATATGACTCTCCTCAACTATGTTTCTCTAACCATGGTCATCGATGAACACATGTTGAGTTTGTCATTTATTTTTGCTAAAAATATCAACTTACATCATCTCTTATAATGCCGATGAACTCCATCTATACCAACTCTAACATTGCATATCAACACCATGATTTACACCAAATTTTATGATTTCTAGTCTCTATTTCACAAAAGAGAATTAACAAATAAATAACAAACGTTCTCTTAAAGACATCACCAATGCTACATCACTCTTCCAACTTCCACCACAAAATATATTTATGTACATTATATTTCTATTATATTATATTAATACATTATTTTATCACACAAAATTACATCATTTGTGACGATTATATGTAAATCTCTATCATTTTCGTAAATAATATATAACTTTTACATAAAGAATCAATAATATAGAATTGTATGGGTTGCGGGCTAAAATATACGCGGCGGTAGAGTTTGTAATTTTACGTTCAAGCGTTGTACGAATATTCAGCACACACAAACAGGAAAAGAGAAAATGAACACCATAATTTTTACGTGGAAAACCCGAAAAAGAGAAAAAACTACGGAGCCATGCCCAGTTGAAGTAGTTCCACTAGTGTTCGTTTAAAGTACAAAGATTGATTCGTCCCACAAGTCAGGACGATCAAATTACAATCAGTTTCTTCTAAATTGAAACAAAGTTATAAAGTTTTGCAGAATTCCGACGTCTCCAGAAAATCCGACAGAATTCCGACATATTCAGGTGGCAGAAAGAACTCCGGCAGTAGTCGAGGAGGAGCTGATTCTCCTCCTTCTCTTCTCTTCTTCTCTCTCTTCTCACTTGAGTCCTCTTGTGAAGAATGAGGGTTTTATTTATAGTTTTTCTGGAGTGGCATGACTTGTAAATAGGTGTGAGATCAAGGGCGAATAGGGAGCGGTTGAATGGACGATTGATGTTGAATCATTCGATCGTGCACCATTTGTTGGACATTTGAAGGCCTTAGTGATGTCGGAATTCAGAGATCTTAGGCTCGTTGGATTTATCTCATCGAGCCGTTCGATTCGAGTATAGGTAAAATCGGAGACCGTTTGGTAATTTAAATTGTGATTCGAACCTTCCAACAGCACTTCGAGTCTTCGATTCAGACTCATTTGGACTCGGATTGAGTTGAATTTGGTGTTGTTGGGTTCGTATTTCCTAGACGCTCAGTTTGACTGTAAGCTCGCTGAAAATGGAGTTCTGATACTCCTGAATTTAATTTGTGAAGTTTCCGGTTCGATTCTGCCTTGAGATTCGTGCTTGATTAAGATAATTTTCTGAGAATATACCAGTATGAATTATGTTAAATCCAAAAAAAAAAACTAGTCCAGGGCTCCAGGCTATTAATATTCAAGTAATTTTTAATTATTATTTTTTATTTATTCAAATTTAAAATTTAAAACTAATGAAGAATTTTTTTTTTTATAAAATTTATATTGTATTTTTAAGAGATTATAAGGATTACGGCAATTAGTAATCAAACTGCGAAAAAACGAAAAAACTCTTTACCGTCCAAACTCCTTCAATCACTGAAGCCATCCAATCCGACGTTTGCCCAATCAAATCACATTTAGTAGCGGGGCCCAGATACACATAGTTAAAACTTAAGAGTCGCAATTTTGGTTACTTTTTTGGGTCTGCATACTTACCACCTCCACTGTCGCACGCTCGCTTCCACCTCCTTTCCAGTACCGTCCGCTCTCCGTGACCGCCCCAAGCACGTTTCTATTCTGAAAGGATCCACTCACCGTTTTATTCTCACCGAATTGTATTTTCGCTCTAAAAGCCCAGACGGAAGGTGATCGTATCAGCACTTATATCTCCCACTCTTCCGCTATATATATAACCTCCATTATCTTCCCCAGCACAGTCGCCAAAATCCCCAATCCGATCTCAGGACCCGAATGGCAGTAATCAGAGAGCGAAGGCTACCTAAGGGAAATCTGACCCTCGATCTCCCCGGTCAGGATCCAACAGGCGGCCCTGATTGCCGCCAGCGCTTCAGCTTCCCCCCACTGCCGTTGCAGCCGGTGGCAACTTTGCCGGCTGCCGCCATTCCGACGAGCGGCGAGCACCGGCTCTCCGACTTTGAAAAGATCAAGGTCCTTGGCCATGGCAATGGAGGAACAGTCTATCAGGTCCGCCACCGCCGAACAGGATCCGTATACGCTCTCAAGACGCTCACAGCCGACGACTCCCTCCGCCGACGACAGATCGCACGGGAGGTTGAAATCCTCCGCAGCACTGATTCCTCCACCGTAATTCATTGCCACGGCGTCATCCCCACGCCCTCCGGTGACACTGCCCTTCTTCTTGAGTTCATGGACGCCGGATCCCTGGAATCCCTTCTCAACCGCCGTGGACTCCCTTTCCCTGAACTCGCCATCGCTGGAATCGCCCGCCAGGTCCTCCTTGGCCTTTCCCACCTCCATTCTCGCCAGATCGTCCACCGTGACATCAAGCCTGGGAACCTTCTCGTGAACGCCGCCGGAGAAATCAAGATCGCTGACTTCGGTGTGAGTAAAATCATGCGCCGATCTCTCGACCCCTGTGTCTCCTACGTCGGCACCTGCGCGTATATGAGCCCAGAGAGGTTCGATCCCGATTCATATGGCGGCAACTACGACGCCTATGCGGCCGATGTGTGGAGTCTGGGGCTCACTGTGCTGGAGCTCCATCTCGGTCACTTCCCTCTGTTGCCGCCGGGACAACGACCGGATTGGGCGACTCTTATGTGCGCGATTTGCTTCGGCGAGCCGCCGGAGCTGCCCGAGACGGCTTCCAGCGATTTCCGGGACTTCATCCGGCGATGCCTACAGAAGGAATCGAGCAAGCGGTGGTCGGTGGCGCAGCTACTTGCGCATCCCTTCATTGCTGGGCGGGACAAAGAGGAGTCGGATTTGCTTTTTCGGGAGATCATTTCGCCGGTAGCTGTGGCGGTGGGGTCATGACTCCCCGCCGGCTGGAAGAGTCGGCTAAATTTGTGAATTTGTACATACACGGCTTCTTGCGAAAGTTCGCGGCCGTCTCTAGCTTTTTAGCTAACCTTTCCCTTGAATCTTTCATTGATTCTGATATTTTTGTATATAGAATATTTTAGTTTTCCGGCATTGATTAAGAATGGAACTTTTCGGAGATAAAAAAGAAAAGCTTTGAAAATGAAAATGTTATTTGTGCCTCACTGAATTTTTTTGCCCTCACTGAATTGCAAAAAGGCAAGAAGATGAAACCACAAAAGCTATACATTGTTGGATTTGCTTGATTTCAAATGAGGAGAAAATTAAGACTTTTGAAGCATATTTGAGTAGGAAACTTTCAAAATTAAATTTGTTATCATTCAAACTCTAATCACAACAAACTTTTAAATTGAAGGTCTCAATAAGAACAACCTAAAAATAACAAAATCGGCATAATCCAAATCCAAATGGGCTCGAATAAAAAAACTAAAACACATTTTGAAGTTTCAAACCATTAATTGGGTAATCAAATAAATTTTAAATATGTCATTTTTATGAGCAGCTCCACGAGAGGAATCCAACGAGCCTAAGATCACCTAATTTTGACATCATTAGGCACTTAAATGCTTGATAAAAACTCTATTATTGAAATAATTAATATTAACCATCTGATAGAGAACTTCTAATTTTTCCTATATTTTCTGCATATTTACGGAGTATGACACTCACAAAAATTTAGAAATAGATTCTTATTCTACACATGAGGGGGAGGAGGAAGGGAGAGAACTAGTGGGAGCTCTCTTGCATTTTTCGACCATCATTGCCGACAACCGCCACCGACAACCGCAGTCATCAACGGTGACCAATTTCAAAAATCACCACTTCCATCAAAATACTAAAAAAAAAATTAATCATGTTGTTGGGTATATTTGTCCACCTGTGGACCTCGGTTTTCTAAAATCACTATTAGAAAAATTAAGCTTTGTGGGCATAAATTATCTATTTGTGGACATTTTATCTTTGTACTCTTCATCTTCTTTAACAATGAAAAAGAGTATCTTTGTATCACTTACTGTATAGTGAATTTAGCAACTTGGCTAGGCCCCATGATTTTTTCATTTTCAAATTTTCACGTAAAAAATTTTCTTGTCTTATCATTTTTATATGTTCATACTTAATCTTTGCACACTGCTAAGACGTGAAACATAAATTATGCGGACTCAAATTTTCTGGCACACAAGAGAGATATTTAAAACCCTTCAAACTTTTATTTTGAACTCTTTTCGCAAGTCAAACATAAAAAAGGTTGAAAATCATGAAAAATGAATACAATATGATTTAATAATGCACATTAATGACATTGGATTATGAGCCACATGTTTTTCGTAAATACAATTAATAATTATCCAATAATTTACCGCTAATTAAGCAATTCAACAGTTGCTAGAAATTTGATTTTAATAGTTCTTTGAATATTTTTTTAAAAAATTGTTATTAAAAATACCTTATATATATATTTACTTATATTAAATTAATTACCCATAATCATAAAAAAACATAAATAAAAATTGAAATTTGCTATAAGAATTTAATAGATCATACTAATGAGCCATTATGCCAAAGAAATTTAGTTTATTAACTATTAATGATAAATCATAATATATTGCTCGAATATATAACCTTAAAGAGATAATTTTATCTCAATATATTGAGCAATTAATTCATTAAAATAATTTATATAAAATTAAAGTATCACTCAAACATAATTACTTGGATTTCGAATTATTTATTTTAATTAAAAATTAAGATGGAATTTAAAATTTTTGGCATACCATTGACATTTGTGTAATGAAATTTTTATTAAATAATTATTCCTAATTTGTATTTATGTCAAATAAATTTACATTTTTTTATTCCAACTAAAATTTTCTCATCCAAAATTAATTGGATCATATTATACTGCATGGTGGGTCCCGTATATTGGAACAATTATTAGGTCAGGTGACCTGACGTAGCTCTACGTTCGGATGCCAATAACATGTCGCCATGTGGTCTTACTAAAAACTGCGCAGCCCGACGACTTGATCAGGGATTGCTATGTTAGCGTATTGCTCGGTATTGCTAGGTACTGCTTGACAATAATGAAAAAATATCACTCTGTGAAGACCATTACCGAGTAATATCGAGAAATACCGAGCAATACCAAGAAAAACTCGGTATTGTTCGGTATTACTTGGTATTGCTCGGTATTGTTTGGTATTGGTCTTCACATAATAGTATTTATCGTTATTGCCGAGCAAAATAGACCAATACCGAGCAATACCTATTTTACTGACGTCCGAACATAGAACTACGTCAGATGACCAGACCAAATAAATGTTCCCTATATTGCCACATCTACGCCACCACGTGTGAGGTCAGTCACTAGTGCTGGGCCCCAGCGCGTGGCGTAAGATCAGCCGCTGCGAGCCACGAGGAAGCTCCTAAGAGAAAGCCAAAAAGGTGGCGCAGCTCCGTTTTCCAACCTTTTATTTTGGCACGTGATTCATATTTTTTTTTTTGGAAAATTTTTTCTATATTATGTCAGCTTCTTATTAGTTAGAGAAATAAAAGAAAATTAGAGCAAATGAAATGTGGGCCATCACCCTTCATTGCGCCTTGGCTTTCATGTCCCCCACATATTAATTAAACTTAAGAATTTCTTAAAAGATTTTTTCTACATATTATAAGAGTTTAAGAATTTAAAAAAATAATAATAAGATTATTATGAGAAAAAATATAAATCACTATGATAATATTTCTTGCATGATTATTTTGACCAATTAATAAATGTTGGTGGGCCCTTATTTTATCAAGAAAAAAAAATCATTAGAATATTTCATAAAAATTATTACAATACAATACAAAAGATTAAAGTTCAAATCGTGATTTTGCTTGCAAATAAAATTTTGGTAAATAAATAGACTTCATGTGTAGGTATCATTATATCTTTATGTTTTGTTATAAAATATTGTATAAAATAAAAAAAAATTAAAATTATATGAAATAATATTGCTACCTAACATAGAAATAAGAAAAATTGCAAGAAAATAATTATACATTAATAAGTAATCAATTACAATCACTTAGGGCACATGATATGTCACAACCCAACTTGAAAAAACATGCATATAAGAGAAGTCATATCGTGTAGGCTTGCAACCGGAGAAAGCGAAGACTAATCATATGATGATTGTATTCATAGAACTTCTTCTATACATATCTCCAACCATATCGTTGATTGTTTATAAATTCTCCAGCATTATAACTGTTTATACTCAAAACTTTGGCATGCAAATGCAAAAATAAGTATTGATATCTATATCTTATATCCAAACACGCATGTAACACTTAAAAGTTTTGTTTATATTTGCCTTCAATTTTAAGAGACTATCAGAAGACCTTACCATACATTCATGCATGCTTCTACTCGCATTATTGAACATTTCTTTCAGTGGGATGCCTCTAATCTTCTCTAAAATTTGCACGTTCATCATCAAGAAAAAAATGAAACTTGAAGAACTCTTCTTTTTGGCAAAACAAATATAACTGAAGGACCGCCACCAACTGTTTAACTCCACCTTTTCATGAATCACTCATATAATAGTGATTGAAGAAATCAAGTAAATAATAATAATGAAAATAAAAAAAAAAGTTTATTATGATAGGTTACAGTTGTTAATCTTATATGACAAGATTACTACTGACAATAATAATATGGAAAATTGTTGCAACAAGAATAGTTGATTACCCAATATAGCTTTACAACTCACATAATGTGACAGGTTGCATGATCTAATGCTAAAAATAATAATTGTATCGGTAATTCAATGTCATCAATATTATTCAATCATTTAATAGCAATGCATTTTTTAAATATTCATATTAATTATTTAAAGATTAATTTTTAAGCCTATGGATATTAATAATGTTATTTTTAGTAACTCTAAATTAACATTGTAAATGTAAAATATCATATCATAAGGATTAAATATTAAGTTTCAGGATGTTAATTTTCGATTCAATTACAAAACACACACACATATTACATTTAACAACATCGAACTTTCTATATTATTATTATTATTTTAATTAACAAAACCCAAACATATTTTGAAATCAATAATTATTAAATTATATAAGAATTATAATTAGAAATGCAAAGCAGTCACATCCTTAGAATTAAAATTTTATTTCTATTTTAAAACAATAAATTTTTTAAATTATCTAAATAGCATCTGCTAATTATTTTCAAATCAAAGTCATTATTAAAATCAACATGTTACCAAATCTATCATAAATTAACAAACTTATTTATAAATTTATTCAACCTTATACTAAAAATTACAATAATAAAAAAATATCATTTTTATTTTCTTATTTTTATATTTCATTTTAAAGCAGGCAAACAAATAATAATTTCATATTGACTATTTCTAACAACACTTGACGTTCTTTAACTGTTAATAATAAATCGCAAATAATATTTTGGTTTTCTTAGCAAAACATATATATATAGTATTGCGTTTCAATTGCCTATATTTTTTTTAGACAATGTTCTTAATTTGCATTCCATGTTTTTTTAATTTAATTTATTCTACTTTAAAACATAAAAGTATTTAAATTATCTATCTAATATTTGTTAATTATCATGCAATCAAAAATATTATAAAAACCAACCATATAGAAATAAATACAATAATCACATAATATGAAATTTATTAGTATAATTCAAGTTGGAAAGTTGAAGTACGTGGAGGAATGCTTCGGATTTGTTGTGCGATAGAAAAGTACCACTCAAACTTAAGGAAAATTTTCATAAGATGGTGGTGAGACTTGCAATATTTTATAGCACAAAATGTTGGCCATTAAAAAATAAGCATAATATTAAGTTAAGTGTTGCTGAGATGAGGTTTACTCTTAGAGACAATATATGAAACGAGCAAATCTTTGAAAGGTTGGAGTAGCTCCAGTGACATATAAGATTAGAAAGAGTTGCCTTATATGGTTTAGTCATGTAAAACGGTGGTCTTCCCGTTGACCTCGTTAGGAGAATAGAAGTACTAGATTTGACCTGTGTTAAGAAAGATAAAAGTAAACCTAAAAAGGCTTAGTTATAAAATATTAAAAATGATCTTTATGGACGATTTTTTCAAAGAGTCGAATATGAAGAGCTTAAAACTTTTGCTTCGATTGTGGCTTCATTGGCCATGCCAATGGGGCTTGCCTATCCAAGGCTCCAACCCGTGGCCCTCAATCCCCCCAAAAGCAGCAGCCGCCGCCAGCCAAGGTGCAAGCCACATCCGTGAACTTCCCCCAAGCATCCCCTCATCTTGAGCCGATGCATAAAGTGTTGAAGAGCCCCTTATTTGTGAGGAAAAGGATGAATCCTCCCTTGGAGCTTGGAACATTGTCACTGAGAGAACGAAAGGCAAACTAAAGACTCCAAAAGACCAAGACACCCGTCAACAAGCTGAGCCCCCTATCCAATTTTTGGCCTAGAAGTTACAACAAATAGAAGAAACTTCTAATAGGATCGTGAACTTTCGCAAGCAACAACCAAGATTGTCCAATTCTCACTCGGACAGATAGCTCCTCCAACTTGGGCCTTTAGCCACCTGCCCTAGGAAGAGGAAGAAGGCTTTTACATATTCCACTGGCAAGGACTTAGTCCCCTCAAGTGCTTAATAAGTGACCTCTTTTTATTTGTTTGTATTGGGTATTGTTGCGCAATACAAATCAATGAAGAAGTCCTTCTCACTTGAGTGGCTCTTCGTTTTTATTTCTTTTTGTTTGTCATTTGTTTGCTGCTTGGTCTGTGGTGCTTCTGAAGCTGTTAACCCTTCTCCTTTTATTTTTTGTCTTTGGAAAGTGGTAGTCTTACCCATTCAAGCTTTTTTATTTTCCATGTTTCTTTCTTTTGTTATTAATGGATAATGGTTTCTACAAAATAATAATAATAATAATAATAATAATAATAATAATAATAATAATAATAATAATAATAATAATAATAATAATAATAATAATAATAATAATAATAATAATAATAATAATAATAA